TTTGATTATGTTTTTAATTCGCTTGTTTCCTGTTTTTTGCGCGTAACTGAAGGAAACATGTCTCTGCCTTTTTCACACACACACACATACATAAATATTTTATTTCTGAAAGTATTTTTGTTTCCGAGTCATTTATAGAAGCATTAAAACTAGTAGTGGTTGAGAATCTCTTTGTCTGCTGAAAGAACATAAGCTTCTTCCATTCAAGAGTGGGTCCATTTTGTAACCACTATGCAGGTAAAGACAGTATTAGATCGAAAAATAAAAAAATTTAACATTCCTTTTATTTTCTGACATGAGCTTAAAATTATATTCTACTGGACTGCGCATTTTCCAGACATGTACCTCATTAGTTTGAACATATTATTAGCCTCGATATACAGGCGAACCTCACAGAAAACATATTTTCCATTATTTCGTGTTCTCTCGTTGCTGGAGAAACACGTCCACATGTCTGTTTCCTAGCAGTGGCTGTTGCACTGTCTCCTGTTTACACAATTGTTACTTAAAAACGGCTGTACGTCACAGTATTTTTCGCTTTTCTTTGTTTGATCCACAATGGGAGTAAGAAAACTGAAGGTAAATGGACAGGGAAATTACACAATATTTAAAGCTTTCGGGCAGCGAAAATTTACATTCTAACATTCTGGGTTATGACACCGTGAAGTCTGACACTTAGTTACACCTACTGGCAACTTTATTTTTAGTTGCTTCCATTATCGCAAGATACAGCTTCCAATGAAGGATCGATGTATGAATACTGAATCGGAAAGGTCAGTGAAGGAAGAGATCTTAACCTTTTTAGACACTACGCCGTGAATTGCTCGGAGGGACTCAGGAAAATCACGAAAACTTTATTCAGTGTCCAAGTCGAGATACCAACCGAGCACCTATAAAATACAAGTCTAGAGCATTATCATCAGCTCCCCTTGCTCTTGCCGACTGGTAACCAACTACCAGACTACACGGTGTCGTAATCCAAATTCCACAATCTACATAGCGTTCACCGTACTTCTTGAAATCTTTACCACGTCAAGAAAACTCCATATTAGGTCACAGCCTTGCCGACTCTTTCACGATAAACATTTTTACATGAAACAGATAAAATTTTAGTGATTTTCATAAAAGTAAGATTTCCATTGAATTGATGGGAACCAGAATTTTATATTAGACTCTCTCTTCCCGATAAAATCGAGGTCTGTTACATTGTTCCAGCGCGAATTTCATGTAGATAAACGGCTAGACATTGCTCTCCCAAAACTCACACACTTCGCACTTTACACACTCCGTGTCAACTGCAACTAGTTCGCCGAAACGCCGATGGAAGCGCCACTTGACGGCGGACGTGTACGGTATCATCAGAGTCTGATGATAGATGGTACGAAACCGTGAGTTCAGAGATATACATCGTGCAAGAATGGATCAATTGGTTATCTGTGAAAACGATAACTCGAAATGGGAAGTAATAAGATTTCCCGTTGAATTTTCAAAGGCTATTCTATTAGTTACCTTTAAATGTATTTGTTTTCCGAGATGGTATTATCAAGTCTCCCGATAACTTGCCCTTAAACTGAAGAACGAGCTCAATGAACCGATTTTGCACACAAAGCGGAGGTGTACTTAGTGTGATAAATCAAATGAAAGCAGTGGGATTGCTGTGTACGATTATATCCGTTCCTTGACAGCACAATAGTTCCCTTGCCACAAACGCACGAAGTTGGTCAACTTTACGAACAGAGGGCCTCAAGTCCGTCTAGACATAAAGTAGACTGTAATTCCATTTTCCGCTTCATTGCCAATGTAATCATCTAAATGCAGTGACGTGGTTTTGTAAGAAAAATCGTGTCTATTCTGCGAGTAAGTATATCAGCTTGTACTCTCCTTCCTACATGAAAGATAACGAAATCACCATAAAGTGTTTACATGAGTTATCCCTAAATTTCACTTCAGAATGAACATAATACATATTTTACTGTATTGCCTACGATTGCAAAATTTTGGTTTTGTCACAGATATACCCCTCAATTATTATCATAACTTTATGGATTATGGATCAGCCTCTAACAGTAAAGAGTACCAGGAACCTTCCTGGGGGGTAAAGGGCTGCCTACGCGTAAGGCTGACAAACTTACCGCCATCTATCAGCCGACTGTCTAGAGAAAACTTAGGAGCTTGGACGTCTGACAAACATATGGGCTTCCACGGCCTTTTATAGGGATAGCTTTACCTGTTTTACCTTGGTCTTCCTAGGTCTCTCTTTCATTTTTACTTTCCCACCAGGATCCTTAACGCATTCCTCTTCCACTCATTCGTGCTACGTGCCCTGCCAACTGTTGTTACTCTTACAAGTGCCCAATCTGTGTCAGCCTCAGTCCACTACGCGGGACAAAGACATCATAAAGATTCCGTAACGGGGAGCCAGGCTGCAACCCTGCATGAGAGAGGGCTCCGGAAAATACATTTCAAGCGTCTATATTAAAAGGACTTTCAGGATATATGTGACACATTCATGTATTAATAGCCTATATTTTTAAGTGAAGCGCAGTTTTCTAGTTCCATTTTTTGTCATTTATCAACGATTGTCAAAGTAAGATTTAAAATTTAATATTTGACTTTACGCATGCAGGATACGTCCCGAATGGATATAAAATCGCGTCTCTTTTGGAACAGAAACATGGCTCCATACATTACACTGTTCCTCTGACACACAAATGAGGAAATCAATTTTTTTATATATTGACGGTTCTTTTTCCTGAATAATACAGATCTTCCATTTGAACGTTTATGAATGAACGAAGTTATACTTAACTGAAGGTCCTGTAACGAAGCACAAATATAAAAAAAGAAAATATATCTTTAACTCACGCTGAGAAATATATTCATTTGACAGTGTTGTCGCTTATTAACTGAGAATACAACCGTTGGCAATTAAGAATCGGTAAAAACGTATATAAGCCGGTCACGGTAGCTGAGCGGTCTAAGGCATGCACTGTCTTCGCTTGCTTGGAAACCGGGATCGTGTGATCGGATCTGTTTCCTGTGAGGTACGAACTGAATTCTTATATATTATTCTTATACACTGCCGGTCACAGTAGCCGAGCGGTCTAAGGCATGTACTGTCTTCGCTCGCTTGGAAACCGGGATCGTGGGTTCGAATACCACTCAGGGAATGGAAGTTTAGTTTGTGTGTGCGCGTTTTTCTGTGTTTGTGTACCGGTAGAGATCTTGCGACGAGCTGATCACCCGCCAAGGAGTCCTACCGAATGTGTAAGATCTAGAAAAACCGAAGTGAACGGAGAAGTTTATAGAGATCGGCCTAGGCCCATTGGGGCTGTAGTGCCAAGGGGGAAAAAAAACGCATGTAAGAAGGCAGTATACGTGACGTAATGACATGTACCTAGTGTGACTGAACGGTTTGATTGCCTGTCACTTGTTTAACCTGTCATCCTTCCTGGACATACCTAATACGAAAAGTTATGCCGCATTTTGGTACGAATTTATGTAATTGACGGTGGAAACTTACCTCTCCGTGACCTTGTAGCAGGCGGATTTATTCGCTAATGTCATTACGCTGTCCATCTGACAGTGCTCTATACCAGTTTTGACTTGTCTGTCCCTTTTAGATTGGCCGCACACCAACTGCATCAAGATAGGCATCAGGACATGAGACAAAAGACGCAGTCTTGCTTCGTTCGTGATTCGTCATCATGAAGCTGACGTCAACATATTGACTCAGACCAGTGTGCGGCGGTTTTCATAATCTCATTCGTTTCAACTGTGCTCCTTTCTTTGCGTCATGTTGCAGACATCGTGTCTTGACTGTTATATGTCTTGACGCATGCTGGTGTGCGGCCTACCTTAGGTATCATCTATATCGTGACGTCTCCACCCAACGACTGGTGTTTCTACCTTCTTGATTATGAACTGGAGACAAATTATTTCAGACGATTCAGTATACATGTCTGTTTATATATCATTATAATTCTGATTTTTATTTACCTATTTTTTCTTATTTTGATATATTAAAAGAAGGTTTATGAGAACAATTTGTTGTCTCTGTGTCTATCTGACATCCGTTTGTCAGTGTATCCTCCCAAATTTTTTCGTGTATGTCATATCAAAAATATACGATTAGTTTTTCCCAGAATTGTTTGTAATTTTTTTAATACAGACTTCTATAACTACCTGCATAGAGAAGAATCTTTCTTCACAAGCTAACAGTTGTTCAGCTACTCAAAAAGTCCAAATGTTTTATTGAACAGGAAAAACCCGCAACGGGTGTTTACCTCGATGCAAATGAATCTTTTCATCCACTGACAACTTATTTATTTAAAATAAATTTTATTTGCCTCCCATTTACACCTAAATCTGCCAAATTGTCTTTTTTCTTCAGGTCCTCCCAACAAACTTTCTCATGTCTCCCATGCGTGTCACCTGCTCCGTTCAGCCCATTCTCCTTCGCTTGATTACGATAATTAAACTGGATAAAGTGTAACATTTCTGAGCTCCTCATTTCGCAATTTTCTCAAGCCTCCACATATTTTCCTCATTTCCTTGTTCTCATATACAATCTACGTCCTTCCTGTAGTGCGAGACCAAGTTTCACACAAACACTACCCCTCAAATGTATGCATGTGCTTGGCTTGGACACAGGTACCCTATAATTTGTGTTATGTTCTCCGTGTTATAGTAACCCCTTGTTTATATAATGTGACATGACGCATGAAACCCGAAATAGTGGAATCAAAGGAGAAGTCCATTGCTAGGCAACGGATCGATAAACACATTCCCGCTGCAACGAAATACAAAAACAACAATAGAGGAATTGTTGAAAACGGCGTTTATTGTTGGGTCCGCCCCGAGCCTGAACAATGACGATTTCAGGCCAGCTGAAGGATTCACCCCAGAATATTGACATGGGTTCCAGCGGTGCCCGATACCAGGAGTGACTGTGCCGGCTGATTGCTGACAGTAAGCTTCTGTTCTGCTCTGCTGAAGGATTAACTGAGAAGAAATGGCAACGAGATATCTGGAAGACAGTTCTGTACGACTGTCCATGAAGGAAGGATCTGAAGGCGGGAAGCTGAAGAATCTCCACTGCTAGAAGCCGTTGCCAGGGAAGGACTGATGAAGGCACTGCAGGATGGAAAAGTTCGGAGGGTACTTTGAAGATCTGTAAAATGTGGAGTTAGCGACAGCGCTGTAATTGTTTGTAGTTCCGAATGGTGTACACAAATGGCCAATAAATTCAATATTCAATCCATACCCTGTCTATAATCACGGTTTGAAAATGGTGGAATCAAATGGAAACATTTTTCCTCTCCCCTCTTGCTCTCACTTTGGAGCAAAGGGCTGATTTCTCAGTTTCATAATCATTTTACAGAAGGTAGAACTCCTTGGATGGGTGATCAGCTCGTCGCAAAGCATCTACCTAAACACAGGATAACAGAGGCGCAGAATAAACGCAGACACACACCAAACATCCATGCCTTGTGTGGGATTGGAACCCACGATCCCGGCGAGCGAAAACAGTTCATGCCTTATACCGCTCGGCTACCGTGACCTGCAAATGGAAACATACCTCTAAAAATTATTGTTCATGTATTAATAAAGAAAAAGGTTTGTGCTGACAGTACTAAAGCTTCCTTCCCATTTCCTTCAATTATTGGTCTTCAAAATCGAGTCTGTTCCTTCATCTGCTCAGCCAATCTTTCCCAAGGTTACAGCGTGCTTTTATTGTATACCGTATGATCTATTTGAGCATTGAAAAGTATGGTCATGTGGCTTAAGGCACGTCCACATTACTCGTGCTCGTGCTCGTGCAAGTGTGACTCGCTATGCTCGCGAGTAATGTGGACGATATGACAAGTCACGAGACAAGCAAATT